GTGAGAGAGAGAGAGAGAGAGAGAGAGAGAGAGAGAGAGAGAGATGGTATTTCCGTTGATAGGATGAGCAAAATCGAACGAATCTACGGCTAGAACATGGAAATATACACTGCCACACTGGTGTGTGTGTGTGTATGTGTGTGTGTGTGTGTGTGTGTGTGTGTGTGATACATGCCCAGTTGGGCAATGTATGTACAGCCAAGGATCCGCAATGTGATGAAGAGGACTGAATGGACAATGCAATGTTAGTGAGAACATCAACAGGCAATGTACATCCTGATACATACAAAATGGCACAAAATAGCGCAGCGGAAGACTTTGAGATAAGTCCTGGCCTGACCGGGACTAACGCGACACCCCATCACTTGTCACACATGTGAGAGAGGAGGAGGGACCACACACATAGACGAAAGGTCCCTCCTTTGTACACGCACATGGGGAGATGCCACAAATGAGAGATGGGGGGAGAGGAGAGACAAAGATGGAGGCGAGGGAGAAGACCAAGGTCGCAATAGCGAAGTCCAAAAATAGTCCCTTGCCGATGTTCAATCAATATCTGCCTCAGAAATGTCGAATCAGATCTTGGGCGCTCTGCCCACAGTAACCTCTGCCTGTACCCTCTGCATGTAACCTCTCTCACTCTCTCTCGTATCTGATGAAGAAGAAGAAGAAGAAGAAGAAGAAGAAGAAGAAGAAGGAGGAGGAGGAGGAGGAGGAGGAGGAAGGAGAGAGACGAGAGGGAGGCCGCCGAAGAAAAAGAAGATGTTGTCTTTGTCGCTCTCTCACGTGCAGGTGCTACCGCAGAACTGACCGTCGTCCTGTTGTCGTCGTGTGCAGGTCGCAGGCGCACAGGGAGCCCCAGCTATGGCGCCAGGTAAGTCCCCTAACACAGGTACCGGTGTTCAGCCTCCAACAATGCAGCGCAGCGCTAAAGCGACGCTGTGCTCAACCAGCAGCGTGTCGCTCCAGAAGTGACCTACCCGAAAACTCTCCAGCCCAGCCTCAGCCCAGCTACAAGTAGCGTTGGGCCTGCTGGGCGTCCTCAGGTACTGACCTCAAAACGGCGTACTTGGTCTGGGCCCCTACCGGGTGTCCAGACCGCGCTGCTGATGCAGCGAGGCGCCAAAACGCTCCTGGCCTCAAAAAGGCCTCGTCCTTGTGTACCTGGCCCAAGGCGTCGCCTTGGGACCTGCAGTCCGGAACGACGTCTGGACATGCAGTCCGAAACGACGTCCGAACGGACAACTGCGGGTACCTGCGGCCAAAAGGCCGCTGTGGGCCTCCAGAGTGCGCGCGGCCTGGGGGCCCCTTATCAACCGTCAGGCCCCTCAAACGGGGCCCATGTGCAGGTGCAGCATGTAACCCTCCTCCCCTCATGAAGTCAAGCCGGGTCGAGGGCGAAGCTGACGATCTGAAGGTGGAACTTGGACGTGAGCGCGACGTGGAGCCAAAGATGTCGGCTTGCCTTGCAACTTGCGTTCGTAGCAAGCGAGAACATCCGGAGCTGTTGCTTGAAGTTCCGCACAGGTCAACCAACGGTTAGCTTTATGGGTGCAGTACGTGAAATGTACTAAGTACTTGGTCGGCTCGTAGCGTCGCTGGGAGATGGTCCCCGACCTCTTGAAAACCATCCTAAAGGGTGGGTCATGCGATCCTCGCCCGGGAAAGTCGTCATGCTCCGCTGGAAAGAGCCAACTTGGAGTAGTGAAAGACCGGGTAGACGGGCAAGTGAGCGGGCACCTGAATGACAAATGAAGGTCCTTCGGGTGCATCCTCAGCGGGTGCCACGATCAGCCAGGGCCCCAGCCATTTCGGGAGGAGCTTGTGAGAGATGTCTTGTTTGGGAGCCGAAGATGCCAGCTTGCCTTGCAACTTGCGTTTGTAGCGAGCGAGAATATCCAGAGTTGTTGCTTGAAGTTCCGAACGTGTCAACCAACAGTCAACTTTATGGGTGCAGTACGCGAAATGTACTAAGTACTCGGTCGACTTGTTGCCATAGCGTCGCTGGGAGATGATGTTGCCGACCTCTTGAAAACCGTCCTAAAGGGTGGGTCTAGCGATCGTCGCCCGGGAAAGTCGTCATGCTCCGCTGGCGTGTAAAGAGCCCACTTGGAGCAGTGAAAGACCGGGTAGACGGGCAAGTGGGCGGGCACCTGAATGACAAATGAAGGTCCTTCAGGTGCATCCTCAGCGGGTGCCACGATCAGCCAGGGCCCCAGCCATTTCGGGAGGAGCTTGTGAGAGATGTCTTGTTACGAGGTCGCCGGCGCGGAATGGACAAGGAAGACGCTGGCGATTGGCCTGTTGGCGCATGCGTTGCTGCGTCTTTGTCATCTGGTCGCGTGCCTTGACAAGTAGCTCTTGCATCCGACGCAAGAAAAGAAGATGGCCGTCGCTCTCAACCGCCCGTGGGGTGATTGTGTCGGATGGAGAGGTGACCAGTGAGCCGTGCTCGAACTCAAAGGGCGACATCCCGATAGCCGGATGGATGGACGAGTTGTATGCCAACTCGACATCAGACAGCCACTCAACCCAATCCTTTTGGTCGAGACATATGAGAGTGCGAAGGAGAACCTGTGCCGTCTGATGCACCCTCTCCGTTTGGCCATTGGTTTGGGGGTGGCGAGCCGAACTTGGCTTGAGAGATGAGCCCCATCGTATGATGAGCGCCAACCAAAAATCGGACATGAACCGAGTGCCGCGGTTGCAGACGATTTCCTTGGGGTAACCCTTGGTTCGAATCCAACCGGCGTAAAAAACCTCGGCCAACTCCCGTGCCTTGGCATGATAGCGGCAAGGCAAGAACATGGCGAACTTGGTGAGTTTGTCGACTACCTTGAGAATTCCATCCACACCGGTCTTGTGCTTGGGGAACGGGCCGGTGATGTCCATGGCAATCGCTTCCCTTAGGCGCAAGGGGACTGGTAATGGTCGCAACTCGCCGTACGGACGATGATTGCGGGATTTGCAGCGTCGGCAAACCTCGCATGACTCGCAATAGCGTGTGACGTCGCCGAAAAGGTCGGGCCACCAAAAGCGCTCGCGAAGTCGGCCAATCGTTCGATTGACTCCAAAGTGTCCGGTGGCGGGAGCATCGTGGAACTCGCCAAGAAGCCGCGTACGCAAGTGAGAGTCACTTGGAACGCAAAGAAGGTCCTTCCCCCGCGTGTGGACAAGCAAGTACCCCTCTTGGATCCGGTAGTGTGATGGCGTCGGATTAGGGGAGGAACAATTCGCGTACTTGTCGCGAAACTCGGGGTCGGCTTGGTAGCAGCGGATGAAGCTGTCCCTCAGGTCGTCATCGATCTCGAAGGTCGAATAGACTGCGTTGCAATGATCCAGACGCCATGAAAGAGCATCCGCAAAACGGTTCGACTTCCCCAGGATGTGATCGAGAAAGAAGTCAAACTGGTCGATGAAAGCCATCCAACGGGCGGTGGTGCTGCTGACCGCGTCTTGGGTCTTGTAGAAGACCAACGGATTGTTGTCGGTCACCCATCGGAATTGACTTTGACCAAGGAGAAAGTGCCGCCACCGCTTGAGCGCGTGGACGAAGGCTAGGAGCTCCTTCTTTCGTGCATCATCGATTGAGTGCACGACGGGCACTTTCTTGTTGAAGTACTCGACTGGGTGTCAGTCCACGCCATCGTGTTGTTCGAGGACTGCACCGGTGCCATAGCATCAGTAGTGACGCGCGTTGGCAATAGCGGGTCGTAGATGCGCAAGACCTCCGCGGATAATAACGCGGCTTTGAGGGCCAAAAACGAAGGGCCATTTTGTCACACCGGAGGGGATCAGTCCATTGTCGGACAAGATTCAAGCCATCCAAGAGTGGCCGGAGCCGCCGAACGTCACAGATGTCCGTTCGTTTCTTGGCCTTGCCGGCTTCTAGCAACACTCGCCGAAGGTGCCCAAGATGATCCTCCAAGGTCCAGCTATTGACGAGGATGTCATCAAAGTAGACCAACACGAACCGGTCCAACATCTCACGAAACTCGTTGGTGATTGCCGCTTGAAAGGTTGCGTGGGGCATTGGTGAGGCCAAAAGGCATGACCACCCACTCAAAATGTTTGTACCTCGTCTTGAACGTGGATTTATAGCGATTGTTCGGGCGTATCGAAATCTGATGACAGCCCGACTTCAAGTCCAATTTGGAAAAGTACTTCGCGCCACCCAATCGCTCAAGGAGATCGTCAATACGAGGAAGAGGCCCCACATTCTTGACGGTTTGCGCGTTGAGCTTGCGGTAATCGATGCACAATCGTAGATCCTTGTTCTTTTTCCGTATGAAGAGAACTGGCGCGCCATATGGGAAGCTACTAGGCGGATCCAACCCTTGTCCAACAAGCCGTCGAGTTGTGCGCGGAGGACAGTAAGCTCCGCCCCGCTCGTGCGATAAATGCAACCTTTCGGCGGCACGACACCGGCCTCAAGAATGATCTCGTGAGAGATCGATTGATCCGGCACCACACCGGTAGGTGTTTCAAAGATGTCGGCGAACTCGTTAAGCAACCACACCACACAGGGGTCCGAAGACAAGTCCGTGGGGGAAGACTCGGCTACCGCGACGGCTCGTAGGAAGCATAGGCCTATCTCGTCGGGCTGCTCGTAAGCACAAGTAGCCCGGAACGACTTGGTCGTCACCGCTTGGCACCGGATCGAAGGGTGCGGAAGAGGAATAGTACACGGTACTTCGGTGCCGAAGGCGTCCCAGACGGTAAGAGTCCGCGGTAGAAGTTGACCGTGTGATCCGCACTTGCAACTTGCAAGCCAAGGCATTCCCAAAATGATATCGAAGTTCATTAGCGGTCGAGAAGTTGTTGCGTTTTTCCGTCCACCAACTTGATCGTCGTTGGGTTTGCCTTCCTCCGAACTTGTGCGCCAAGACCAGCCCTTTGCATAAAGGCTTGGCTCATGAAATCGCGAGTCGTGGCGCTATCCAGCAAAGCACTGCAGGACGCTTGCCCAACTTGGATGCGGACATAGAGGAGCGGTGCGTTGTTGCCATCGTACCGCTGCGTGCGAAACTCACGAGCCACCTTAGTAACATACGCAAGGATGTCCCCCACCGCAGCTTCGTCATCCTTCGGCGAAGTTGGTGGTGCATAGAAGGATAAGTACATGTGAAGATGAGCGCATAGTGTTGCGCATTGCGGTCCCGGCAAGCGGTCCGTGGTAGGGAGAGAAAGCCATGCAAAATCCTCGGACGTGAGCGGGTCCAATACCTCTATGTTGAACTTGTGCGCCGAATCTCGTGAAGAACCACTTGAAGACGATAAGTCGCCACTGCCGGATGGAGAAGATGCAGCACATGCGTCTTGTCCTTAAGCATGAGTACCCAGCGTAGGAACGAGTCGGGCAGCATAGTACTTAAAAGAATATAAAAGAGGACTATCGACTTCCGCAAGTGCCTTGGAACGAAGGGCGGTCACCCGCATAGCAACTGGTGTGAGGAAACCCGGGGAGGGGTCGCCTACTGTTTGCTGAAGCCAAGGGCAACAACGCCTATCACTCGTTGCACCCGCTTTCGAGGTCCTCAGCGACCAGCAGGGTGTCGTTTTTAGAATCGCCTGTCACACCCCCACTCATGGGAGAACTTTATACCATCATCAGAGCATGGAAACGTAACAAATTATTTTGCTCAATTAAAATATTCCCGTTGTCGGGGCAAATACCCTGACAAGGGTATTTGCTGGGGATTTTTAAACGTCGAACGTTGTCCGACTCTTTCATTGAATTGAAGGAATTGATGAGACTGACGTTTGCCAAAAGTTTATTCAGACCTGACCTATGATTGAGAGACTAAAAGTTTTAGGACTTCAGTCCGGACGTGTGTGGCGTCCGGGAGTCACAGATGTGAATGGCAATGCTTC